GTAGACCTAGTTTTCTGGAAATCCATCAGTAGCTAGGATAATCAGGGCGAGGATCCACCCCCACCACACTGCCCCAGGCCCAAGGTAGATTTTGCCATCAAAATAATGAGGGTGAAACACTAAAATAACCATGCATGGTAATTAAGGCAGTTTCTAAAGCTCTGTTTTTAACATCATCATTAACCTCACATGTGCTTTACAGTAAAAACCTATGTTCATTCAAAACATAAACTAAAAAAGGGAAGATGCCACTTTAACAAGGCCTCTGTTGACATCAGTTATAACTGAAAGTTGTCCCAATGGAGGTATCAGGGAATAAATAACAAAACCCACAGAGGCTCATGGAGGGCATCTTAAAGGGGGCCACCCCGGGGCTGGGATGACACTAGCATCCACACAAGCTTTGCAGCCAGTGACAACCGGGCAGCCCTGCTTCCTACGGAGGATGCTGCACTGTGGTTGCTCACACACGCTACCCGTCAAAGGCTGCGTTTTGCTTTTGCCCAACACAGCTTTTGTTAGGCACTAACCATCTAATGCCAGACTTAGGGACCTTACAGAAGGGACTGCCAACTTCAAGGTCATAAACCCCTGGGGAAAGTGTTAAATCTCTGGAGAGACAAATGAAAAATAAAATGCTGGCAATAGAGGAAACATAACTTTCTTTTTTTTTTTTTTTCGCACCCCCCCTTCCCCCTCAAGGTTGCTGTAGATATTCAGGTTCTTTTTTGATTCCATATATAAGTTTGGAATATTTGTTCTAGATCTGTGAAATATGTTGTCGGTATTTTAATAGGAATTGCATTGAATCTGTAGATTGCCTTGGGTAGTATGGACATTTAAATTATGTTGATTCTGCCAATCCATGAATATGGTATATTCTTCCACTTGTTTATATCTTCTTCTATCTTTTTGATCAACATCCTGTATTTTCCGAGTACAGGTCTTTTGCCTCCTTGGTTAATTTTATTCCTAAATATATTAATTTTTTTTGTTGCAATGGTAAATGGAATTATTTGTTTAATCATAACTTTCTAGTGATAGATAACTTTCAAAGATTCTACCAAAAAACCCCAAAATTTTCACTTTTAAAATACCTAAAGGTACAGTGGCACAAAATCTCCAAGCTGATGTAAAAGAACGGGCAGATGTATCATCCCTTTGGTTTTGGGAGAGCAGAGGGGCTAAGACTATATAACATGAAGCTACACAGTTTAGGAAATTCCACAAAAACCTCCCAGCTCCCTTTGCTCTTACTGAGCTAATAGTGCAGGGACCTTCTCAGTATTATTTCACAGTGAGCAGATGGTAGTCTGAAATTTTTTTGATATACACAATCCACTGCCAGGGGTTGCCAAAAGGTCAGCAGAACCCAGATTAACAATTGATCAGCTCTAATGGACCGTCATAGCAATAAACTCAGAGCCCATACACAGACCGGCTACTCCAGTAATAGCAACGGGGCTGACACCCAAGCTGTTAACAGACTTGTGCTTAATAGCATCGCTGCTTTGCAGCTTCAAAACCCTCATGGAAGCCGACAGGCATTCTTCAGCACACATCCATTCTCTGGAAGGCCTCTCTTTGTCAGGTTTCCGCGAAAGCGCGCGGTTTACTCTGACCCAGAGATTTCACGGAGGTCTGAGGTCTGGGTAGTGAATGACACTCTGCAATACTGACTGGTTATTTCAACATCTACTCTTGTGTTCAGACCACAACTGAGCCTCTGATAGTTCTTGTGTACTCATACAAAACAGACGACAGGGCTTCCCAAGAAAACAAAAGCTGTAACACTCCAGAGACTCACTTTCTCGTCCTCTATTTTTTCTCCAGAGAGACCCAATGCTGCATTCGTGTTTACAGCACCGCATTTGACAAGGAACCGCTTGTGCTACAACAGGGTTTTATTGTGAAGCTTCAATAATGGGAAGGAAGTCAGAACACTCTGGGAAGATAACAACAGCTCCAGACAGACAAAAGAGAGCGGCTCAAGGTTAGTTGCGCTAAACCACTCAGTGTTCTTTTCCTCAGCTGAAGGATAAAAATCCCCTGAAGTCAACTAAAGCATTCCCTTCCTTGCCCATCTGCCTTGACTAGACGACTGGTCTCGGCATAAAATTGACTATGAGACATAAACACCAGATTTTACAAAACAGTTCTTTCTTGCCCTCCCACAAACTCACTCCTTCCAATTGGACCAATGGATCCAAATATTTAGTCCAGAGAAACCCAAGAACAAGGACATTCTCTTACATAAACACAATACAAGGCTCAAAATCAGGAAAGTCCACATTGAGGCAATATTATTTATCGAATGCAGAGTCAATATTCACATTTTTTTTAAATATATTTTATTGATTTTTTACAGAGAGGAAGGGAGAGAGATAGAGAGCCAGAAACATCGATGAGAGGGAAACATCGATCAGCTGCCTCCTGCACATCTCCTACTGGGGATGTGCCCGCAACCCACGTGCATGCCCTTGACCGGAATCGAACCCGGGACCCCTCAGTTTGCAAGCCGACGCTCTATCCACTGAGCCAAACCGGTTTTGGCAGTATATTCACACCTTTGCTTCTGGTTCAGAATCCAGTTTAGGATCTCATGTTGCATTTAGTTGTCATGTGTCTTTAATGTCCTTTACTCAGGAACAAGTTCTCAATGTTTCTTTGTCTTTCTTGACCTTGACTCTTTTGAACTGTCCAACCAGTTACTTTGTGAACTGTCCAGCCACTTACTTTGTAAAATATGCCTTAGTCCAGATTCTCTGGCATTTTGTCATGATTAGGTTAAGGCTACACCTTTGGGACACACTGTGAAAGAATTCTACATAAGCGGTGTTGTATCCGTCCTGGTCATCACATCTGGAAGCTCCCGATGTCACTTGGTCTCATCACTGATGACATTAACTTTGGTTACGTATGCAAGATAGTGTCTGCCAGCTTTTTCCCTATTAAAGTTGATATTTTCTCCTTTGTGACTAATGAGTAATTTGTGGGTGGTTGCTCTAAGACTGTCAATGTCCTGTTCTTCATCAAACTTTTACCTGCTAATTTTAGTATCAATTGAAGATTCTTATCTCAATCAATCAATACCATAATTTTCTAACTCCATCATTTCTTCCATAGTTATTAAGTGCCATGCCATCATAAGAGCTTCCCTTCTCATTTATTTATGCGTTTATCTTTTTATCTACCTGTTTGTTTATTATCAGAGTAGACTCATGGTTTCTTAATTTATTCAATGTTATAATCTAAGTTGATTTGAGATGAGCTTCTGTCATTTAGTACCAGAATATTCCTGAAAAGGCCTCAGGAACTCCTGAGGAGAGGAAGACAATTTCCCTTGGCAACACATTCAAGAGACCCTTACAAGCGTCACACTTACGAAGGCGCTTCCTGATGCTTCCATTAAACCCCCCATGGCCACTCTAGGAAGTCCAGACCCTCTGAAGAGCAGGCACACTGAAGTCAGCGTGGCCAGTAAATGGCCCCTGGATCTTCCTGGAGCCGCCACATGGTTGTAGCTATAGGAAGCGCGATGCTTCTTGCTATATTCAGCTGATTTTTCTGTTCTGTCTCTTGCAGCTCTGCTCAGAAACCGGGGCTGGCTTCTCCACTCCTCTCCAATGTTACCAACAGTGACTAGAACAGCTCCACCTCCCCCTGCAACTTCTTGTGCTTGGCTATATTCCAGGCTCTATTTGCTTTATATGTTGAAGATTATGCCTAAAAATGAACCCCAGATAGTAGGTTTGACATTTTCTGCTTCCCCTACAGACCTACTCTTCACCCTTCTCCACCCAGTGAAAAGCCTGGGGAGGCTGAATCAAGTCAACTATACTGACAGTTGGATTCAGCCAATGGTGGGTACCAACAAGAGATCAGAAGGCTAGAAATGGTTGTTGGGGTATCTTTCCCAAAAACTGCCAGATCATCATGGCTGCACCCTTCTATCAAGTACCCTTTCCATATAGCTATTCTCCCTGGCTATTAGAAACCTCTCTGTCCCCTGGTTCCTTCAGGCCAGGAGTGTGGCTTGACATGGGGTGCAACACTATAGCTTGTTGGTTTCATTTACCACATATTTGTAAATATTCCCTGTATTAAACTTTCCTCAATTACCACATTTGAGTGTTCATGCTTTTACCCACAAGGCAAAAAGAAAACCAATGTAGACAGTAATGATGACAAGAGGTAGACCCATGGGACAGAGATACAGCCAAAGCCTATCTTAGGGATCACTATCTTTTCTTTCTTCTGTCTTTTTCATATACCACTATTTCCCAAATGTGACCACTAAAAGAGTTATGTTCTATCAAAACACAGACTTAAGGATTCAGGTTTACTCCCTCTGGTTTTTCTAGAAGTAAGGAGAGGCTACACAACTCAGGAATGACAATACAGATAAAATTTACTCCAGAAGAGAAGCAAAGGAACCTCCACGTGTTATTCAATTCATTGGCCCCTTCTACTGTGTTTTCTCTTACAAGACAACATCAAAAGCCTTCTCAACCAGACACAGGATGCCATGATTAGATATGAGATTACTACCAGAAATTTGTTAAGTGGATGTTCATATCCCACATCTGTGAATGATTTAATTTTTAAATATAATTAAAATCAATTCAACATTAAATCCATCACAACATTCCTTTCAATCACTTAAGCCAAGGAAAAGTCTGTATTCTGCTATCTATCTTATCAATTTACCATTAAGAGCTCTGGTGATTATTGTCAGTTGGCTGGTTAACTCCCCTGTAATTGGGGAGGATTCCATCAAAATCTGGTTATATGCATGAGCTTGTGTTATCCCACTGCAATTATCATGGTGGGCAATGAGGTTCCCTATCCTGCCTTATCAAAAAATAGGCACATTTATTCCAACGGCAGTGTCATCCTCTCAAAGCCTTTCTTTTCCAGCCACTGAAACCTGGCATTCCTGGAACACCGAGTGCTTCTCCTTTGGCAAAAAACAATTAATTCGAACTATAATCACGTACCTGCAAGTCTGCATCGAATTCATGTTTCAGATGTGCTTCTTCCGCAGCCTCCACCAGGCGCTAAAAAGATAGAAAGCGACAGGAAGGGTTACAAGTGTGGCCTGGACCCCATTCCTACAATGTGAAAAGACTGAGTTTTCTGTGTTGTCCCCCAAATGACAGAGTATATCATGTTCATTGTGACTGGTACCTTACACCCATGACAATGAACATAGTAACGTCAGTGTCAAAATCCAGCTTTTGCCTTCATTATTCAACCATAATTCTTCCAACAGATATTGACTGTTATGTGTGTATAAAGACACACATGTTCCACATCCATTTTTGTATAAAAGACACTGGCCCTTGAGGTTGGATATGGACTCCAAGACCTACCTAGAAAGTACATTCCTTAGGCAGAGAAGGCCCTTAGTCAAGATTTATTGAACTGAATTGACTTCAACTCTAAATGGACTAACTTCCCCAATGCTTTGGAAAACACTACTTATTTTAATTGCCTGCCTCATTCAAGGTCAATTTTTTCTGCACCCAGTTCTAGTATGTAATTATCAGGTGACAGTTATTTGAATTTTATGGGACATCAATGTCATTTTGACAATCTTCCTCCCAATAATAAAATCACTGAAATTAAATACACAATTATTCTTCTTGGCCAACTAAATTCAGCCATTTCATATTCTTATGAAAACAACTTAATGAAATTCCATTTAACAATTATTCAACAACCAAAATCATTTCACTTTAATTTGAATTTGCCAGTAAGTTATTTCCCACAATGAAAATGCAAACGAGAAGATATTGCATAAAATTCATTTAGTTAAATAATATTTCACTGAAATTTCATTGAACTAAGAGCAAAATCTTTCGATCCAAATAAAAATGCAACCATTCCTGTTTTTCCCATGGTTAATCATGTAGCCTATGCTACCTTTAACTTGCTTTCACTTGACATAATATAGACCTGAATTTAAAAGGCCATGTTTAAAAAAAATGATGACATTAATCTCTAAATGATCACAAATCCACAGACAAATGTTCCATGAATGATTATTAAATTGGACATAGAAATGAAGAGGCTGAATATGACTGGATAACTTCGGGCTCTGTTGTAGAGCACTAAAGTCTTCTCTCTTCATAGGGGCATATAAGGAAAGAGATAGGCCAGCCAGAGACCGGCTGTTACAGACAGGAATCTGGGAGGGCTGACCAATCTGGCTCCTCACACTCCCTGCAGATGGTCAGAAAGGGGCTGCCCCATCTCTGGTCAATCAAAGAATAGCCCCCAGGAAGCAGGACAGGGCTGGCGACAGAAGAATGAGTTCTAACTCCAGCCGCAATGCAACACACTACAATTGTGAGATTTGGGGCAATATCCTTTCCCTCTCTGGGTCGTTTCTTCAGCTTATGCACATGAAAAGGTGACCCCGGAGCAGTGGTTCTCAAAATGTAGTCCCCCATTGGCAGCATCAGTTTCACCTGAGAGCTTGTTAGAAATACACCTTCTCAGGCCCAAGCCAGTACTGCAGAATTGGGAGTTCTGGGGGTGGGCCTGGCGACCTCTGTTAACAAGCTCTGCCAGTGACTGATCCACTGGCTAAAAACACCTCTTAGTCTGGATCGTACCTCACCCCTGATGCCTTGCTGAATGAGCTGCTCCAGGCCTCCAAGGTGCCTCAACTCTCATTTATCTTTTCAAAACCTATGCACATATGTATTTTCACCATGAGACGTGAAGTACTTTATAGAGGAGAGGCATACAATGGAGAGGAGGAGAAACAGAGGAAAAGAAAAATAAGACACAGTCTGCGTAGATTGGATATGTTGGCCCAAAGCTTACATTGGGACAGCTTTCAAAGGGTCACGGTTTTCTTGGAATTGTCCCAGCCGATGAGGTTTGTCAGCCTCCTGGGATCACAAGACACAATTTGCAAATGGATCAATATGAACCGAGACAGATGAGTGACAGGCAGTGATATATCAAATCCATGTTTTCTTGAGAGCTTATTCTTTTCATCTTTGTAACAGACTTAAAATTTGTATGCATGTATCATAAAAATCCGTCACATATTGAATGTGTATAAATATTATGCATGTCTGAACATTTACATGATCTAAAAATCATGCATTTTGATGATGTATTTACTTAAACACATAGAAGTTGTTTTTATCATGGTGCCTAAGCATTCTGAGAATCCAGCAATGTCCATCGAATGTACAAATGATCAAAAGATAGGAACAAATTAATTTCACAATGACCGAGGCAGATAATATTGAAAAAAAGTGAAGAATTGGAAATGTACAAAAACACAAAAGCAGTATAGGACCAACAAATAAGAGGACAAGATGGAAATGATAGGCAAATAGAAATTATGACAGAGCATAGCATAAAATGCATTTCTTATATAGCATTTTACTTATATTTGTGTTTGTATGTTAATGTAAATCATACATACCTTCTAACATGTCCAAATATAACATAATATAAAATGCATTTCAACCACAAATACTACAATGCAAGACATGGTGTATAAACAGGTAACACACTGGAAACAATTCAATAAAATTGTACTAATCACTGAGATAAGTCAGAATACTGCTCTCTGTGTGGAGCAGTGAGTACAAGAGAATCTGAACCCTTCTGGCCAGTTTAATGTTCATTTTCAAGTTAGGTTGCTGCATGGCTTCTTAATTTATCACAATGATATTGCCGATCATACTCACTACAAAGCTTAGGAAATAAGATTCAGGAAAAGATAGTCAACTAAACATATCGTTGTCCCATGTGAAACAAATAAGTACTTTGGAACAGAGCTCTTTGAAAGGATATACCCTTCCTGCAATCAACTGTGGGGTTATCCCAACTGCGCCCTGATGCCAGTGGGAGACAGGCTTATATTTTATGAGAAAATTCTGGGGGAAACCCCAAGAATAGGCTCAGCTATTGTGCACAATAGTAATGACAAGCAGGACATCAGAACTGCGTACCTTTTGAAAGGAACAAAGGATTGTTTATCTTTCCTCTGAAACACTCGTATAAAAATAAATGAGTGAAAAAATTGTACCTAAGAAGAAAATCATGTGTCATAAACTTGCCTAAAACAGACTCCTGGGGATAGAGGTTCCCCTGTTAATAAAATAAAAATAAATTGAGTTCTCATTTTTAAAAATCAAGACACCCTGGCCAGGTAGCTCAGTTGGTCAGAGCATTGTCCTAATATGCCAAAATTGAAGGTTCAAACCCTGGTCAGGGCACATACAGGAATCAACCAACAAATGCATAAATGAGTAGAACATTTCCTCTTTCTATAAAATCAATAATGTTTTAAAAATCAAGACAACTCAACTTCAACTCTGATGCTTGCCAGTAAATAAAAAGCTTAAAATGTCTCTTTCCTGCACAAATATCTCTATCATCTAATTCAAATTAAGTATGCTTTAAAAATAAGTTTAATTATCACCTGCAGGTACAAAAAATCAATTTAAATGTGCTAATATTTTAGTTATTATATAAAAAGCTGCCACTGAGCCTGAGGAAAACTGTTATTCTATTATGTCTATTAGAAAGGCAGTGTGCTTTTAATAATAATAAGTTAATTTTCTCTTGCATGAATTCCCCTTTTGGTTGTGCAGAAGGGCTATAGAATTGCGACTGTGGTTTTTAATTAAAACTGAACACTGGAAATAAAAATGGCTTTAAAGACTAGTATTCAAAAGTGCGCTGTGAGGGAAGGAAAAACAAAAGTTTTGTCCACAGCACCTTTAATGCCAAATTCTCCCCTCTCCCTTTAATGCTGAAAATTTCTTTATTCAATGTAAATGTAATACACACCCTGGGATTGGAACAAAGCACCTAAATGCACAATGTCTTAATTCATGAATTGATGTACATTTCATTGACTTTTATATTTCTAAATTACTCTTCCTTTTTAGTTAAATAAATATAAACAAAAGCTACCTTTATAAATAACAAATGCTAGAAGTCATGGACCATGGACAGTATTTATAGCTATGGTGAAGTCACAACTGCCTAGGGCAGTGGTTCTCAACCTTGGCTGCACATTAGAATCACCTGGGAATCTTTTTAAAATCCTGATTTCTGGGCCTCATCCTCAGGAAATTCTGTTTCTTTGTTATGGGGTGGGGCCACAACGGCAGCAGCAGGCAAGCACGCTATCAAGGACAGGGCTGTAAGAGTGAGCACCTTCTGCCAACCCAGAACCTCTTGGGTGGGGCCACAACATTAGTAACAAAGAAACAGAATTTCCAGAGGATGAGGCCCAGAAATCAGGATTATAAAAAGATTCCCAGGTGATTCTAATGTGTAGCTAAGGTTGAGAACCACTGGCCTAGGGGAATAGCAGGGATATTAAAGCATTTCATTTAAAATCGCATCTTATCTCTTGTTCCAACGACCCCACATTTTCCCTACAACACTACAGAATGCTGTCCTCCACCTCCTCTCCCAAAACACTGGAATAAAGACTAAAGTTAAAGACATCATAGAGGTCAAACTTCCTGTCATGGTCCAGCAGGGGGAAATAGGACACCAGGTCAAAGTGAAAATTGAATCAGAAGAAGAAAATGATCTTTTGTTCTGTTTGTATTTCATCTTTGTGTTCCTGGTCATTCTGGCTTTCTAGGAGGAACGCCAGGAAGATGCCATGAGCATGGGAGGAGATAGAAAATGTAATCACACAGCCTCAGTGACCTACTGCTGGACTCCTACTGGTTCCATCAAGATGAGCAAATTGTATACAAATGAGAAAAGTTTCAATAAATATTCCTAAAATCGGAGGGTTCATTATGGACAAAACTCTTAAAGCAAAACAAATATTAAAACCGAAAAAAGACATTTTTATTTCTCATGCTAAAGCTAAAAAGTCTTTCTTTGTAAATGCTGTTATAATGGAATATTGGAAAATGCCAAAGCACTTAATATGTTTAATGGTTTTCATTCAATGTTTTGCAACAATACATTTAATATCACACGAGGGTTTTTATTGCCATTTTTTTCTAGAATGAATACATAATTCTTTCTTAAATACTGCTTAAACTCCACT